GGGGGCCTGCCAATATAGGGCAGGTGACACTCAAGGGGTTAGAGAAGACTTTCTTCTCCCAGGAGACATACTTTGCCATCCATTTCCTTTCTACCTACCTGTGTGTCTTGACCTAAGACTGAAAGGACATAGGAGATTAACTCAGGAGAGGAGGAAGAGGAAAGGACATTGTAGACTGTAGTGTGGCCAGAGCAAAGGCCCTGGGGTAGTAAGGAGAGCAGGGTATATGAACAGTGAGAGACAGAATGGGAGCTCAGAAGAACCTCCTACTAGGCAGAGGGCAGCTGAGTCATAGATGAGTCTGGAGATACTCAAGGCCAATGAAAGAGCCAAGACAATCAGAAAGGAATTTGATAATAAACCAGAGGGCCATAGTGGGCGTGGCAAATTAAGCTGGAGAGTGGTCAGGGCTGGATGAGACACGTCCCATTGGGCCCCACTGACGACCTTTGACATGAAGTGTGAGCAGAGGTGGCAGTGTAGTGCCTGGGAGGTCTGGTGGCCAGTGAGAAGGGTGCATTGTGGGAAGCCTGGGTGGCTGATGGGGCAGACACTGGAGCAGCTGAAAGAGTCACAGCAGAGAGAGTGGAGGGTGAAGGCCTACGTGAATTGAGCCCTGTCTGTCTCCTGAGCCTGCACTTAGAGAGCAAATGTCCTCAGACAGGACAGAGATGCTCTTAAAGCAGCCAAACCCAGAGGGCCACAGATAATGCTGCATGAAGCCAGTTAATTCCATGATTGGATTATTTAATCTGCGCATCTACACCCTAATTTCATTGGCCAACAGCAAGGCATCTTTCAAGTAAGTTGACATTTGCTTGCCATTCCCTCTGAACGTCGGTACAATTGATTTGGTTAATTTTTATAAGAAGCTCTTGTTTTGCAGTACACTTCCAAACAGATCTCAGAAAATCAAGGAAATGAAACACGTTTCTTTTTAAAATGCTAGTCTCTTTATATGTATGTTAAACAGCAATTAGATTTGGTGTAAAGAGGGGAAAATGCCCTCTAATTAAATGAAACAGATCCTGCTGAAGACCTTGAGGGTTTACAGGAAAAGCATGTGAAGTCTGCTATAGTTCAGGGTAAATACACATCCATCAAACTGAAGTGGCCAGTGCCTCAGTTTCCATCATCTGTGTCTGCTTGTTTGCTCTGAGTTCTGTCAATTGCTGGGAAAAAATGATCAGCTTCCCTACTTTGTGAAAATTGTCCATTCTTCCTTTTAATTCTGTCTCCCCTTTTTTTCCTGGTGCCAGTTGTGGACCTTGAACCCAGGGCCTGAGTGTTGTTCCTTAGTTTCTTCGCTGAAGGCTGATGCTCTACTATGTGAGCTATACCTTCACTTCCAGCTTTTGGCTGGTTAATTGGAGATAAGACTCTCATAGACTTTCCTGTCCAGGCTAACTTCAAACCTCAGTCCTCATATTTCAGCTTCCTGAGTAGCTAGGATTACAAGCATGAGCTACCAACTAATCTTGCCCATTTCTATTTCGTCTATTTTGAGCCCAATTATTGGTACATGACTCTTGTCTTTCTGTTCTTTATGAAAAACTCACACTTAGTATGAGTTTCTATTTAAAGTTTTGCTTTGAATTCTGTCTTATCTGAAATTAACAAAGTGCTTTGGCCCTCTTGTTTTTTATAGACCCTCTTCCTGCGATCTGACATTCATAAGCAACACTTGACAGTCTCTCTTGGACATATCTGGACTGCCGGCGTCATGGCCTTGAGCCTGGGGCTGTTATTAAGTAAAAATAAGGGTCACCTGGACACAAGCACTGGGCCACTGCCTCGGTCCTAGGATGACGAAGATGGCCATTAAGTGACTCACAGGCAGGGGTGTGCAGGAAGGAGAGGAGTAGTGCGGGATTGTGGGGGGTGAGGGTAGTACTTCATGTCCTAGGCTGGAGAGAGAACAGGCCAAGATTTCAGCAAGCTACTCAGCTATGCTGTGCCATTCTGGAATTTTCAGTTTAAGGCTTTCGGACCATGGTGGATCACTCAGAATGAAAAAACTGGAATAAGGCAGGGGCAGGGAGCATTGTGATGGACCCAGAAACTGCCTGCGTACCTCACCTCCCCCAGACATTGCTGCACTGACCCCCTCATCTTCTGAGGACCTGGGTGGGGTTTCTCTGGGGCCCAGGTGGGAGAGACAGCAGTCTGGAGGGGCATTCTTGCTCTAGGTGCTTAAGTCAGCTCCACCCAAGCCTGAGCAGCCACACAGAGTGGAGCACCCACTGATGCCATTGTTAACCCCACATCTTTGCACCCCAGGAGGGTATGAGCAGACAGAGGTCTTGGCTGAAGGATTCTTAGGTGGTGATGATACCTGTAAAGCTCTGTCTAGAAGGCAACTTTGTTTTTCTCTCAGAGTGTTTAGCTGAGGTAGTCGGCCCTGAGGGTCTTAGGACTGAGGGGCCAGGCCAGGGACCCATTCACAAATGGGAAAGACCCCCCTCTTCCAGCAAAAGGGGTGCAGTCCCTGGGGGCTGTGGTCTCCTCCGGGGGGTCCAGTGAGTATTCTGGGCTCAACAGGGACAGTTGGGAGTGTGCGGTCCAGATCCCTGTCTTCAGGAGAACTGTGGGGAACTCCTCCTCCTCTTCCTCCCAGGGCCTCCCACAGCGTAAGACCTTGTATTCTACCACTGGGTAATACCACAAAGCTCAGGGCACTATTTAAAGTGGCCTCCCAGAGTGAATAAAGACCCAGAAAGATAGCTGGATGAGCAAGTTGACCCCAGCGATTCTGATGGCTCTCCAGAAAGGCCATTCCACTTGGGGAGAGTCTCCCCGTTTCCTCGCTCCTGGCCACCAAATGGGATGAGCCTGCTTCCCGTTCCCTGGGTCTCCATGGCATTTGCTGGCATTTCTCGGGCATTCTAGTGTGTCTGAGCATCTCTGTAAGAGCTGGGGAGTCGTAGGGCTCTGTTCCTGCTTCTGCCTTTCCTACCCCGTGCCCCGCTCTCTGCCAGCTCCAGCATCTTCCTCTCATCATAGCCAGCCTGGGCACCACAGAAACGCTCCACATGGCTCTGCACATTTCTGTTCTCACCCTTTGTTTGATCTGGGGAGGAGTTCATTTTCCGTGTTACCTAGTTCTTTGGTGAGGGGAGACCTCAGCAGTACCAGCCCTCCTTTGCCAAAGAAGGTTATGGAAACTCCACATCTTCCCTGTATTCAATCCCTTCCAGTTTCACCAGAACAGAGAAAGGATTGAAAGGGAGCTCCAGCTGTGGTCTCCATCACACTCTGAGGGAGGGGCTGTTAGTGGCTGGAGGGACAGGGGAGAAAGTGAGCAAGGTAAGGTTAAAGGAGCCTTGTAAAGTGCAAGCCTATCACTTGTGAAATTGACCCGCATGCATGCTTAACGCCTGCTAGAGGCTCTCCAATCATGTCTATTTCAAACAACTGCTCTATCCCAGGTGGCTACACACGGTCTAAAATACTGAATTTTAAAGGGAAAAGCCAATCCTGGCGCTGCTGTTGTGCCCTCTCTGCTCTTGGTGTCTGACAAAAGACAAGATGCTGCAGGCTGGGGAGCCGGTGGCTGAACTCTGGGCTCCCAAGGAGAAGCATTACATGTTGTGTTTGCTGGGCAGATCTGCAGGACCAGCAGCGCCATGACCTTCTCCTTCCAGCAATGGTGGGAGCCCCTGACCCCCAGAGCTCAGCAGAAGCCCCTTGCTGTCATGGCTCATCCTAATGGGGGGGGAAGGGGGGAGGTTGGTCCGGTTCTGAAGGCCCAGAGCCCACACTTCGGTGCCCCCCCCATGCAGCCCCCTCTGAAGCACTGCTTTCTGCTTCCTCTTCCTAAGTGGGTCTCCGTCTTCCTCTCGTTCAATATTTAAGTTGCACACACCCTGGGACTTCTTCCTCCAGCCGCCACTGACCTACTTACCTCTCCACCCAGCTCTTCTCATGCTGGATCGGAGGGCAGCGGTGGGGAGCACAGGGGCGCTCTGGGAGGACGGAGAGGAGGGCCGGACCTCGCGCGAGGTCAGATTCCTCTGCGAGAAACAAGGACGGGACTACACATATTTTTAAGAGAATCTCCAAGAAGACAAGAGTCGTCCCCTGGCCCGGGGAAGGGCCTCTTTGTAGTGTGGGTGTGTGCACGCGTGCGTGGAAGAGTGCGTGTGTGCATAGGCGCGCCCCTCCCCCGCCCCCAAACAGGTGCATCTGGTGGGCTGTCTGTCTGTCTGTCCTGTCCACCAGAACTCCAAGACGCTCAGACTTGAGGTTCGGGGTGCTCGCCCCCTCCACTCCCACGGCCCCCCTTTCCTTTGTTCCCATCACCCACCCGAGGGCGTCAGGACTCCACGCCTGCGTGGGCTGCAGCCTGGAGGAGAAAGGAGGGGTGCGAAGGTGTGTGTGTGTGTGTGTGTGTGTAGACAGCGCTTGACCCCGGCCTCCTCACCCCGGCCTTCACTCTTCCCCTGGACCTTTGACCTCTTGCCCTGGGCTTCAGGACCCCCCCCTTTCCTGTGCATCCCCCCCACGCCCCGCCCGGGGACCCG